ATGTCTATTTAGTTTTTTTTTGATGCCTCACCCCATAACTAACGTATATAAATTATATTAGGGTTTAGGGTTTAGGGATATACCTCCATATATACCTAATCAGTCCTAGATCGCTACCCGAGACTCTCAAACGACCACCGCTAGGTGCTGGTCTGCCTGGCTGCCACATCCGGGCCAGAGGAAACCGGGGCCTGTGAGGGTTTACGGCTTCAGGAGAACCCCCTAAAGCCCCAAGCCCGAAAGCCCTAATCCCCAAAGCCTAAGCACGAGAAGCCTTCCAATCCCAACCGCAGTTAAGACCCGAAGCCCCTCAGCCGTAAACCCTCAAAAGGGAGGGAGCTCAGAGAGCGACGCCCCGAAATCCTGACGTCTGGTGGAGTTCTAGGGCTCCTGGTTCATTGGGCGTAGTTCACGGCTCAGGGTTTAATTTGTTGGGTTTTGGGTTCAGGGCTTGGGGTTTAGGGTTTAAGTTTTGGGTTTAATTTTCGAGGGTCCAGGGCTTGGGGTTTGCGATTGTGGCCGGCACAGGTGGCCTGCAGCAAGCCCAGGGCAAGCACATTTAATCTGAATAGTAACTCATAAATCACCTTGCTCCCCCTAGATGCCCGGTCTTTCGTAGACTCCAAAGCCCTGCTTCCATTTTGAAGGCCCCTGTACACCCTAAGCCCCAAACCCAAAAAAGCCCGAAACTCGCCCAAGCGTTCGCTGCCAGGACAAGCCATCTTGGAGCTTGGCGCTGGCAGACGACCTTCCAGCCCGACCCCCAATGGAAGCTCCGGGGGCTTATGGTTTTTGGGGTTTGGGGTTCAGGGTTTTTGGGGTTTAGGGTTGAGGTTTATTGTTTGGGGCCTCTGGTTTTTTGGGGGTTGGGGTTCAGGCTTTTTAGGGGTTTAGGGTTGAGGTTTAGTGTTGGGGGCCTCTGGTTTTTTGGGGGTTGGGGTTCAGGCTTTTTAGGGGTTTAGGGTTGAGGTTTAGTGTTGGGGCCTCTGGTTTTGGGGGTTTGGGGTTGATGGTTAGGGTTGAGGGTTAGTGTTTAGGGTTTGTGGCTAGGTGTGCAGGAGTTTTGTCCCTGGTGTATGAAGGGGCCGAAAAGGTTGTTTGGTATGTTGATAAGTACATATGTGTTATAGGATGCTAATGGATTTTTTAGCTTTTAGAGTCGTTGAAGCTGTGAGCTGGTGTTGCAGTATGAGGTCACATGAGCTTAGCTTTGGTAGGATTCGTGTTTAGGGTTTTTTTGTGGCCAAAGGGTTCACCGAGCTCAGCAGGCTGTCTTGCCGTTTATTCTGGTTTAGGGAAAGTTTAGGGACTCGGGCCTTGAAGGGTTCACGGTCGTTCTACGGTTTAAGGTTTAGGGTTTAGGGTAGGTTGTTGTGAGGGTTGACGATTGTGGGATTAGGCTTGTCATTCGCTGTTGACAGGTACTGTACGGTTGTTGAGAGTGTTGTCAGATTTCAGGTGTTAGCAGGGTTTTTGCGAACGTCGTTACAGCTTGAAAGGGCCTTTGAACGACCAAACCCCAAAACCTAAGTTCGCGTCCTAAACCCTCAAGGCTCAACCACCTTCAACCCTCCAAGCCCCAGGACCTAAACCCGAAACCCCACAGTTCGGAGGTTAGGGTTTTGGGTTGGTTTTGTGTTTAGGGTTCCAACCTAATACCTCCAAAAGCTATTAATGAAGCAATCGAAGGGCTCCTGATTATAATTTACGGTGCATGGGCTTAGGGTTTAGGGCTTACGGGTTCCCTAAACCCTAAACCCTAAGCCCTAAACCCTAAACCCTATAAGCCCTATAAACCCTAAACGGGTGGATTCCTTACTTCAGGGGTTTTGGAGTCTCAAGGGACCTTCCCGGCCCCTTCCTGGGTTCCCCGTTGCAGGTCACACTCAGCAAGGGCGCTTTGCTCGGCCACCCGCCCAGCACTGAAGCGACCACCCCGGCGGCGACCACCTTGCAGCTGGGGCCGAGTTGAGCGGTTGAGGTTTTGGAGCTTTGGAGGTTTAGGCTTTAGGCAGCTAGGTTTAGGACTTCGAGGTTGTAATCCAAGGTGTCCCTTTCTTTGGTATTGGCCTCTTGGAAACACTTGCTCAGTCGAGGGTCTCGGGGTGGGGGCGATTCGGGTTTCAGGTTTTCGGGCCGTTCTTGCTTGATCCAACTTCTGCCCCTTAGTCCTCTGGTAGAAGCCCGGTGCACCTCGTTTAGAGGCGGAGGGGCGCCTCCTTGTTACAAACTGCATCATTGGAAACAAGGTGCCCTTAGCATTGAAGGGGCATCGGGGAAGCAAGGGGGTTTCAAGGCTCAAGTGGGGTTCGGGGTGATTTTTCGGAGTCATCTCAAAGCCCTTGTCGACCAGCCCAGGCCTACAACAAGCATCAGCGCCGCCATGGCAACCAGGGACCTGGGCAATGGCCTGCCTCAACACGAAGGCGGGGCTTTGACGTCCTTGAACAGCGGCCAAGAACATCCCCTTCCAATCCGTCTAATGTAGAGGGCTGAAGGATTGATTTCTTATCAGAATAGAGTTTGGGGTTCCAGAATATAATTATACTACCTTATAGCCCCAAACCCTATTCTCCTTATTCAGGCCCCTAAATTAATTAGACTTATAAGACTATATACCCCTTCTCTTCTGCCCCAATCCTTGAGCCCGAGCCCACAAGCCCGCAGCCTTTAGAAACCATTGCTAGCCTGAGCTGCATACTTTTGCAGCCTGTTTCTGCAAATCCGAGATGGATATTGCAGGGCACGTTTCCCTGAAACCTCCTAGGCTCTAGTCCCGAGGCCGAACCTCTAAATTAAAAGCAAGGTCCAAATGATGCACCACTGCACCACTGAATGTTATACACACCTTTGAGCTTTACACTCCAGCGCTTGCAGAACCACACTCCCGTTACACGGCGCAACCCCACAGAACCCTACAACACTCCATACGCAACCCTGAACCCTAAGCCCTGCCTTGCCCTCTATTGCCGTACAGGACCCTAAAATACTGTACCCCACTATACCCCCACAAGCATCGGAAGCATCCTACAATACTCCTAAACCCTGAACCCTGAACCCTATACCTTAAACCCAATACCCTAAACCTTAAACCCTCAACCCTAAACCCAAGACCCTAGAAATACCCTAATACAAACGCTCAACCTTGCCAAGATGCCGGCGGCGAGCCGGCAATCATCCGATACACGCTCCCCGCACGGCCGCTGCCTCGGTCTTTGAAAGAGGGTCGATTCGGTTTAGGGTTTAGGGTTTAGGGCTATTGGGTTTAGGGTTCGATAAAGGGTTCTATACTCCAGGGGTTTAAGTTCGCCTGACCCTACGGCTCAAAATAGCCCAAAAACCCTCCATAGTATGGTCTTTGGGCCCAACAGCCTTAGACTATGGGTCCTTGGAGCCTTAGGGTCAGGGTTCTACACCCAAGGGGTTGAAAGTTTAATAACTTGGCCTAACTAAGGCTTCATAAAAGGGGGCTTGCAGGCCAGGGCTTCATGGTTTTGCTTTTGGCGATCAGGGCTTCAGGGCTTTTTTTGGGAGTTCATCGAAGGGTCATTACAGAACCGTCAATTTTTGGCATTGTTGATGGAGACCCCTAGCCGGAATCCAAACTCCCTTTATGCGAATTTCTTGACCTCATCCTACCATGACACTCCTCCGAAATCGAAATCGCAACGCCTAAACCCTAATTCCGACACCCTAAGCCCTAAACCCTAAAACCCTAAACCCTAAATTCCGAAAGCCTAAGCCCTAAACCCGCAGAGGCAGACATCCTTGGACATTGACCTGGTCGTGGCCGCCTTCTCAGAAAACCTGCGCCTTGACTTCCTATGTAGCTAAAGACTGCAGGTAGACTAAGCTCCCCAGCAGTACCCTAAACCCCTAAAACCTAAACCCTAAGTCCCTAAACCCTATTTATAAACTAAGCTCCCCAGTTTTGCCCATTGTTTCTTTTGGTTCTGGGATCTCCTTGTGCACAATGAAAAAAATGTGAACATGGGTGCCCTTAGTGTTGAGGGGATGCTTGGAGACCTACTACTACAGTTACGATTTCGGCGTTTCAGATTGATGGGTTCGTATCGTTCAGGGCCGTCCGGCCTGGATTTGGAAGCTCTGAGGCTCAATGCACGGATTTTGGACTTAAGCTTCTAAGGTCCGGATTTAACCATGTGTGGCCAGAGTGCATGCGCTGGCCACTGATACCTTAGGGTGTTGCTGGCTTCTGGGCATATGTGTTGAATCTATGATGCTTTCGTCGACCGGCTTCTTCACTACAGACGCTTCCAAAGGCTTTTGCGCTCCCTGTGTGCCGAACCTCGCACTCTCTCCATGTCACTCCTTGACCTTGAACCCCAAACCCAGAGGCTGCTTCAACAACGGCAATGAAAGAGTTAAAGTGCTGAGGCCTGTTTTCTTGCAGCACAGCCTCATGATCAAGCCTTGAGGACTAGCCGGGACAGGGTAGGCCTGCTTGAACCCGATGGCTGCCGACGAGGACTTCGATTTGGAGAAGTGGGTCGTGTGCAAGAATATCAAGTTCATCCACTTCTTGAAAATTGCCTCGCTGATGCTTCGGATGTTCTTGTGTCTTTGCGTTTTGATGTCTTCCGCTATGCTCCTCGTATTTACTCCAGACGAATTATTGGCGCGAAGGGTTGATTGGGGAGGTCGAATGACGGCAGGCTCGTGCTTCTTCTTGACCAGCGAGGAGCATGGATTCGAGTTCAACATCATGGACATAGTGTCTGCAAGTGCCGGCACTCAGACGTTCTGTGGAGTGACGCCAACGGACGTGGCCGAAACCTTTGATCGGAACATGTTCCTGGCCTGATTCAAAATTAATTCTCACTCGTATTAGTTTTGACCTGAGCTTTTTGTAGTTTTTTTTTAACGTCTCTTGAATAAGCTGTAGTATACTATACTGTAACAGTAGATAGTATCGGGTATACCTACACGGCAATCTGTATCGTGTACCGTAAGTTTGGAGACCGTGCAAGACAGCAATTCAGGTTCTTCTTGAATGCCATGGGATGGACGGAGGACTGCAAACCCTACATCCCAGATCCCAATTTTTAAATCCGAAGCCCAAAACGGTAGAATTTCCACAGTTAACCATACATCCTAAATTTGATTTTTCCCAGACCCAAACACCACATCCAAACTTCGAGATTCGTCCAATGTGTAGCCCACGCAGTTGTCCCATGATTTGCGTTCCTCCAGGCACTCTCATAGCACTGGAGTACTCTGTAGTTACTACCGTGCACCTACAGTATCCTATAGTCTTTGCTGCAGTCGACACAGCCATAGAGGCTTCTTTTCGCATGAAAACGAACACGCCTTCCCAGCTTCCCTGCGAATTCATCGGGCCTTGAGAATCGAATCTCAAGCTTCAAACTTTGGAATTCCAGCGCTGAAGCTAGACCACAGTCTCTACAGTTTGCTTTATAAGTACACTATAGCATACTGTAGGATACTATACTATGATATACCATAGTATACTAAAGTCTACTAGACTATACTATGGCATTTTATGCGCGCTGAACCTTGAAGTGCAAGGACTGTCTGCCCAACTTGGCCGGCCTACCCTCCGGCTGTGGCTGCCATCGCGTGGACAGCGACGGCCTCTGCCCGGAAGACGGGATCGTGGACTTCGGCTTCATGTCGCAGTTCCTTGTCATTGTTGCGCCATCAGGGTTTAGGGTTTAGGCTTGAAAGTTTTGGGGTTTTGCATGTCGCCTCTTCTGGTATATCCTCCCAGTCCAGATGCGAAAACGGGTTCTACAAAGATTCTATGCTTCCCAACGTGCCAAAGTCCAGGAACTCCTGCTAAGAGACTATACTTCACATGGGTGAGTTTTGGAAGAAGGTTCTGGGCTGAAACGTACAGGATGTAAGGCTTCGTGCTTAGGTTGGGAGCTTGTTGTTTGGGGTTGTGTTGGTAGTGACATAGAGTCCCATCGCCCTGGCTGATAAGTAACTTTGAGACAATTGGGGGGGGGTATACTAGCTCGAACCCAACGCAAACACAGTGCTGTCGGCCAGGCACCCGGACAGGTCCGTACTTCAGGTTTGGGACCAGCTTGCGGGTTTCCAACTGCCAAGCATGTGAATGCGGGGCAGCACTTAAGCTATTCTCTTTTGGGATTGTGGGGTCACCAAATTGTCCTTGTTTGAAGGTTCTTTGCCTCCATGTGCTTTGCAATGTTCTTCGTCTGTGCCTCTGGCGGGGCCATTCTGAGCGACATGCGCTCCAAGTTTTCCGATCTGCCAGGCCCCGTCTCCTTCCTGCAGAAGACCTGGATGTACCTGTGCTGCGAGTTTACATGCAGTTTTGATCGGCTGTATCGTTTAGATATCAGGTCAAGGCTTTTGTTCGTCAGTTATATAGGCGAGTACTACTGCGCAGGTACTTCTTCCTGACCATCCTGCCCAACTATCTGATCAGTCCGATGGGTTCGGTTGTTATGCTGCCCGAGCCTGCTGACAAAGTGGTGTTGATCAGGACTCCCCCTGACTATGTCTTCATTCAGCTTTACAGCCTATGTATTGTGGTGCCATCGACGTGCTGCTTGCTTTGTTACGCATGCTGCTGCGTCGACCAAGGAAGCAATGGGCATCGCAGTTGTGGCGCAGCCTATACCTGCTCGCTGCTTTGCACAGCAGGTCTTGTGACTTCTGTGGTGTTGCTTGTGATGCTCGCGTACCTGGACATGGGCAACTTGTTCTTCATCGACTGGAACTTCAAGGTATCCATCGACCTCAGTTTTGTCGGTATGGCCATGATTGCCAAATGCTTCCTCGGTGCTGTAGCTGTGCTGGACAGCATCGTCTACATCATCAGCTTGATTCAGGATGCATGTTGGCTCGAGGAGAAGAAAACACAGGTGGAGCGCTTCAGTCAAAAGTATGAGGTGGAAAACCCGCAGCCGCAGCAGATCCCGGCATGACATTGTGCCTAGCGTGAGCAGCTTGGCTCTCCTCGATGTGGCTGTCATGAGGGTGGATCGCTTCGAAGCATACTGCATGGTGTACTATATAGTAGTACTCCGTACTTTACAGGGAGCACCGTATATTTTGGTAACCGTATAATTTCAGGCTATATAGCGTCTTATGATAGATAAATCGTGTTTTGCACTCGCGGGTCGCTCCAACGCCGGAGGACATCTTTGCTGGAAAGGTCCAACCCAACTAGCCTTGCAGAGCCATAGGGATCATGGTGTATATACAGATCATGATGATCATCTGCCTTGTTGCTTTGTATAGCCTGACTGCTGGTTACTTGGGCAACAGCTCAGCCAAGCTGAGCTGGATCCAGGCATTTCACGGACTGCATCTTGCTGCTGTTTGCACTGGGAAAGGAAGATTTTCGAGCTTGGCTGTCCGCTTAACTTAATCACGACACCTGCCACTAAAGATGCTCTGTTGCTGAGCCCTCATCTTTCAACTCTGCCCCAGCGGGACACAGCGGATGTTTCCCTAAGCTCAGTCATACTCCTGCTATTATTTCGCGCGCCTCGGAAGCCTGATCCCAAGCCCGAAAACTCTGCAGCTCCTACAGCCCCGCACCCTGCAGCCCCAAACCCCCAACCACCCCGTAACACCTAAGACCTCTAGCCTTGAACTCTACACCCCTGAAAGGACCCTCAGCTCTGGACCTCCGCAAGCACGTCCCGAGCTTAGGAGTTGGGTCGAGCCTATGCTGGCACGTGTCTCCCCGGGTGCCGAGCTGCGACTGTATTGCAGCTTCTGACTGCACAGCAGGGTTTAGGGTTTAGGGGTTTAGGGGTTTAGGGTTTAGCGGTTTTAGGGTTTAGTGTTTAGGGTTTCAGACGCAGGTGGACTTTCAGGTTTTCCGACATGTGATTCATGGATTAAGGATTGAGGTTTCAGAACATGGTCGTTTCAGGTGTCGCAATTAGGGCTTCAGTATATATATATTAAGTATACATATACACATATATATATGCACATAT